GGTACATGGATCTTATTGCTTTATACCAAATTGCCAAAACTTGGAGGCAGCCAAGATGTTTCTCAGGGAATCAATGGACAAACGGTGGTGCCTCCAGACAGTGCAGGATTATTCTGCGCCAAAAAGAAATGAGGCGGCAAGCCAAGAAAATGCAAATTGCTAAGTGAGATTAGCCAATGGGAACAGGCTACACATGATCCCAACTAGAAAACGTTTTGGAAAAGGCAGACCTTGTGGAGACAGTATAATAAGAACAGTGGGGCCAGACACAATAGCCTAGTGGCTAAATCCTTGCCTTACATGTGCCGGCATCCCATATGGGTGCCGGTTGTAGTCCCAGCGGCTCCACTTCCCATCCAGCTCCCTACCTGTGGCCTGGGAAAGCAGTCGAGGACGGCCCAAAGCCTTGGGACCCTGCACCCGTGTGGGAGACTCGGAAGAGGCTCCGGGCTCCTGGCTTTGGAATGACTCAGTTCTGGCCATTGTGGCTGCTTGGGGAGTGAATCAAGGGATGGAAGATCTGCCTGTCTGTCTCTCCTCCTCTCTGTATATCTAGATTTAAAACAAAAATAAACAAATCTTAAAAACAAACAAAGAATAGTGACTACCAGGGGCAGAGGGGGAAGGATGACTAGATGGATTACAAGGATGTTCCGGGCAGCAGGAACACTTGCTATGATGCTGTGATAATGGAGACATGTGCATACACATCTGAATCCACAGAGTGTACGTCACTTGCCGGGGAGCGGTGTTTGAAGTCAGGCTGCTGCCAGGAGGCATGCGTCCTGTATCAGACTGCTTGGCTACTCCACTTGGGCTCCCGTTTCCTGCTGCTGTGTCCTGGGAGGCAGGAGCTGATGGCTCAGGCGCCTGGACCCTTGCACCCACGTGAGAAAACTCGGAGTTTCAGGATCTCGGCTGCCACCTCATTGGGCCCTGGCTGTTGTGGGCATGTATGGAAAAAACTCGTGGGTGGGGTGAAGATATCTCTGTCACTCTGCCTTTTAAATGGATAAATATTTTCTCAGTGTACAATGCCTACAGAACATGGAATCATCGTATTGTGAGAAAGCAGCAGCAAAGTCCTTTTGATTAGATCGACAATAAAGGGCGTTTGTGTCTTTCTGCCTGAAGGATGAAGTGCCATGGGAATGGCCCTCCCGCTACAGCCCACAGCTAGGAAAACTTGAAATGCTATGCGGACAGAGATGTCAGATGTTAGATGCTAGGCAGAGCAGGATTTCCATCCTGAAAGACAAGGATCAAAGAAGGTGAGTTCTACAATTGTCCCAGGCAAATGCCTGGAGGCAATTCCCAGGCTAGACATGGGAGGGTGGAGTCCATTCTGTTAGGGGAGGGAAGACAGCTCCAAGTTCAGGAAGGCCCAGAGGGCAAGAGCCTGCAGGACAGGGTTTGGGGACAAAAGAACCATCAGCAGGCACTTCCTGAAGGTCTGGCCTGTCAGTTAAGGTGGCACATGCCATATCAGTGTGCCTGGCCTGGGCTCCTGGCTGGAGGTTCCTGCTCACGCTCACCATGGGAGGCAGCACCTCCTAGTTGAGTCCCTGCCACCCACATAAGAGACCTTGATAATGAAACGAATTTAAAGCTGGCTCTGGGGCCTGCAGTGGCCTAGCAGCTAAAGTCCTTGCCTTGCACGGGCTGGGATCCCATATGGGCAACTGTTCTAAATAATCCTGATGACCCTGCTTCCCACCCAGCTCTCTGCTTGTGGCCTTAGAAAGCAGTCAAGGATGGTCCAAAGCCTTGGGACCCTGCACCCATGTGGGAGACCCGGAAGAGGCTCCTGGCTTTGGACTGGCTCAGCTCCGACTGTTGCGGTCGCTTTGAGAATGAATCAACAGACAGAAGATCTTCTGCTGTCTCTCCTCTCTGCATATCTGACTTTCCAATAAGTTAAAGCTCCACTAGTCCCGCCCTAAGAAAGCTGAAAAACAAGTTTAGAAAGGATTAAACTGATCACAAGTAACTTAACTGAATGCAAGTGTTAGGGGTGCGGGTAAGAACACACCAGACATGTCTAGGGTTTATTAAGGAGTCTTTATTAACCAAGCTTGGGGATAATAGAGCATACTAGAAATAACAAGTCACAAGTCCATACAGCAATCTGACCAATCATAATCCAACCAAACATAACCCCAAGAAGAACAAATGGTCATTATCCTTAAATCCATCCGTTAAGCTGAAGAAGACCTATGTCCCAACTTCCCCAACAATATAAATTATCCTATGAGACATGCCACAAATAACCTGGGCACACTTACAAAGCTTCAGACATTCACCTTTCCCTGGCTTCTCTCCCCACATTCCACTACTGCCAGGCCTCACACCTCCTGGAACTCCTGATGCCACACAAACCAGTAATAACGTTGTATATGCATTGTCCCATCTAAGCAGTACACAGGGACCATGCTCAGGGGATCACCTTCCCTGGGTCAGCCCAGCTCGAGGTGCCAGAGCAACCGGAAGCTCCTGACCAGAAAGAGAGAAAGACCGCCTATGTGGCTGGCGGGGACCCAACCATTCACACCAACGCCTGCTGCCTCCGGGACCTGCACTGACACCCTCCCGCACTAGCTACTTTAGCTCGCATGGCCTACATTTTTTTTTTTTTACAAGATTTATTTATTTTTATTGCAAAGTCAGATATACAGAGAAGAGGAGAGACAGAGAGGAAGGTCTTTTGCCCAATGACTCACTCCCCAAGCGACCGCAACAGCCATAGCTGAGCTGATGTGAAGCCAGGAGCCAGAAACTTCCTCCAGGTCTCCCACCTGGGTGCAGGCTCCTAAGATTTTGGGCCATACTCGACTGCTTTCCCAGGCCACAAGCAGGGAGCTGGATGGGAAGCGGGGCTGCCGGGATTAGAACCGGGACTCATGCATGACCCCCACTTTTCAAGCCTACACTGTTGTAATGAGAAGCACACTCTGTCACTTGATTTGAAACAACAGCTCAGAGGTATGTATTTTTTTCTTAATTTTCTTGTTTGAAAGACAGAGTTACAGAAACACGAAGAGATCTTCCATCTGTTGGTTCACTCCCTAAATGGATACAATGCCCAGAGCTGGACTATCTAAAAGTCAGGAGCCAGAAGTTTCTTCTGGGTCTCCTAGGTGGAAAAAGCAGAAAAAGCACTTGGACCATCTCCTGTTGGTTTTCCCATGCCACTAACTGGGAGCTGGACTGGAAGTGTAGCAGCTGCCATTATGGGATGGTAGCACTACAGGTAGCAGCTTTACTAGCTATGCCACAACACTGGTCTCAAAAATACATGTTTTTTTTTTTTTTAAGATTTGTTTTTTTTTTTTTTTCATTGCAAAGCTAGATATACAGAGAGGAGAGACAGAGACAAAGATCTTCTGTCTGATGGTTCACTCCCTAAGTGACTGCAACAGCCAAAGCTGAGCCCATCTGAAGCCAGGAGCCTCATCTGGGTCTCCCACATGGGTGCAGGAACCGAAGGTCTTGGGCCGTCCTCTACTGCTTTCCCAGGTCACAGGCAGGGAACTGGATGGAAAGTGGGGTCGGGGTCACTGGGATTAGAACCAGTGCTCATATGGAGTCCCAGCGCATTCAAAGCGAGGACTTTAGTCACTAGGCCACCATGCCAGGCCCAGATATGTGCTTTTAATTTGGCTGGATCCTCATCTTGTAAATGCTGCGCTCCCATAATGATAGCGGTTAGTATCCTGAGAAAAGAGGATAGAATGACCCAAGCTTTGGGATCCTGCATCTCCATGGGAGACCTGGAAGAAGCTCCTGGTTCCTAGCTTCGGATAGTCTCAGCTCTGACTGCTGTGGCCATTTGGGGAGTGAACCAGCAGATGGAAGATCTGTCTCCTTCTCTCCATAAATCTGATCTTTCCAATAAAAACAGATAAATCTTCAAACATATCACTTCCAAAAATGGGTTAAGATGGTTATTTTTTATATTTAAATTCTAGAGTTTTGATGAGCAGGGTATTGTACTATATGTTGTACATGGGTTTTAATCATTCCAGGGCTTGGAAGTCCCCACTCTTCCAGTCAAAGACACTACAGCACAAAGTGATGGAAAAGTGATGGAGTTACTAAGTCAGGGCAGACTCAAACCGTAGGCAGGGTGATGCCAAGATTCACCCTTGAAGCCGCCATGCTCCATCTTTCATAGAGCACTTGCTATGATGCCCCACACCACAGCTGGTAGCTAATACACATGACAGCACTTAACGGATTCCAGATTTTAACAAAAATGATGAAAATCCTTGTTAAAAAAAAGTGGATTTCTTTTTCCTACTACGGAACAAAAGGCTCAAGAAAAAAACAAATATCAGGTGCAGAAATTACTTTTTTTCAAATAAAAATAAGACTATTTACTCCTTAGGCAATTACATTTATTTAGAATCTCTGGAAACACTTTAGACAAAACAGTCATCGGTTTTCGTTGTCATGGTTTTCTTCCCTCTTGTGCTAACTGCAGTTAGTACTGTCATCATTATACTTGACTGGCCCAAGCAGGAAAGCCAAAACCATATGTGTGGCTACACAAGAATTCCTTCTCCCCCAAAATCCCATCTTCACATCCACTCAGACTGCATGTTCTGATGTAAAAAAAGTCTTTCCAGTAGGTGATTCATTAGTCATGCAAACAGAGACAGAATTAAGATCCAGGAAAAGCTCTAGGTCGGCAGGGGTGGGCAGCTTGTTTCTGCCAGGGGCCATTTGGATATCCACAGCATCATTTGCTGGCCATGCAAAATGATCTACTTAAAAATCAGCCCACTCTATGGTTGCTGAATGTTGGGTCCTTCCTGCAGTTGCCTTGGGAGGGCCAGTCAAGTGATTTCACAGGCCTCGGAGAGACTGTGGGCTGGCTGGTCTCTGTCCTCCCTTACCTGCCAAACAACTGTACTAAGATGTTTAAAGCAACAGTTATCAAGACTGTCAGTAGCATGACCTAAAAGGATAGCCAATAAAGAAACACGACAACAAATTCATTCAAAATGTGCTTTTAATGGCCATTCCATCAAAGTCAAGCAGAATCACATTGCAAAATTATTATATGTGTGTGTGTATATATATTTAAAAGGTGCATTTTTCAAGTTTCATTTGGACTTCATCTGATCCTTCCTGTGTAAAACGTTCTTGAAGCTACAATTAACACAGAACATTCACGGGCTGGTAACTCCTCAGGCCCTGCAGGACGAGGAGCTAACACCCCACATCTTGGGTAGAGTTAGAAATTTCAAAAGCCGTGTGTTTATTCAGAAGCTTAACACCAGTCACGAAAGACATTTTCAACATAAAACTTAGGCACTCTATATATTTGGAATAGCCACAAAATATTTCAACAAGAGTTAATGCACTTTGTGATTGTGTCTATTCAGAGATAATTCTCAGGTAAAAATCTCTGCTTACTAACATCTTAAATCGGAGCCCATTAAGTCTTGGAAATGGCTGACCTCTCCCAGCGCCGTGCTGTGGCTGGAACGAGCTGAGCTGCTCCTTGCCCTGAGCCTGGGCCCCATCCTTCAGCGTTCCCTTCTTTTCTCACAGAGGACCCTGTGACAATCACTGAGAAGCACTTCCCAGCGTTTTCGCTAATTCATGAATAACAACATCCATAATCAACGTTAAAGGTATTTTTCGTTCATTTCCATTTCTCTCCTATAACATTAAAAGCATTCTTCCATGTTCTACTGTAGGTGCATTCTTGGCATGGAAAACTCCAGCAAGAACCCTGGAAACATCATCCTAACATTGGCACAGTGCAACCTGTGCTGCTGGCCTTGTGGGCCTGGGGGCAAAGCGAGGGACCACCAGACATGTCTCTCTCTGTTCTGCCCAACCAAGGTCACAGCGACTTCTGACTGGAGGGCAGGGTGCTGCTGGGGCTGCCAGCTCCTCATTTAAGATGGAAACGGGGATGATGCCTGCCTGCAGCGATGCCGTTAACTCTACAGGAGCTTCCTGAACTGCCACATGGGTCAGCAGGATCAGCATCCGCAGTAGGAGGCTAGTGTTCCGTGTTAAGAACGAGGTGCATTTGCTCCAGGGTACAACATTTCTGTGGCTCAGAGAACAATTAGAAAGCCTTTTAGAATTCTAAGGCGATCACAGCGTGCAAATTGACTCATCAAAATCATCAATGACAAACATACACAGATCTAATCAGAGAAATGAAGTTGAGACTGATTTGACTATAAGTCACACTGAGAGCAACACAGTAATTTCCCACAGGAGAGTATGGGGTTTCATCCCGGGAATCACGGGTAAGTTAATTACACTGCTAATGTTCTCTGGCTTACTTGAAGAGACAATTAGCGTAAGTAAATCATGGGTGAGATGACAAGTTGCTTAACATTTGTTTTTGTTCACTGGATGAAATCTGAGGTTGCTGTTAAGTCTCGGCATAATTAGGGGATGGGGAGGGGCCGTATAAGGAATGAGAGGTTGTTAACTCTAGTTTTAGCAAATACAATCAGAATCAGTTATTACCAGTTGGAAAACACCAATGTTGAATGTAAAACAAATACTCATTCCAGTTTTAGACAGCAACCTCATGAAGAAGTGACAGGTGAGAAACACGAGTCAGGTGATTTTGTGTTTGAGGATACAATGGAAACCTCAGCCATCTCTCCCGAGCAGAGACGATGAGACGTGAAGAGCCAAGTGGAACTATCAAGACTGTTCTGCATCTCCACCCAGAACTTCATCTTCTAATGGATATATATATATATGTATATATATATATATATTTTTTTCTCTCTTTCTCCCAAAAGGAAACAGCAGACCAATGAATGTTCTAGACAGCTATCCTGTGATGAGGGCTTGAAGCTCAGGACAGCACGGTCAAGGTTACAGCCCCTCTCTGGTGTTTTAGGATGGCGACAGCTTGCTCATGAGTAACACCTTCCAGGGTCTCGCCATTAACAGCTAGAATCTGATCACCTCGCTTTAATCGGCCGTCATCTGCAGCTGCTCCCTGCAAGCAAGAAACATGTGGGTTTAACTTGAGGCAAAGTAGTTGACATTAAATCAATATTAAAGCTTCTAACTGGTTTCTGCTATGCATATTAAAAGAGTAACTTTAAAAAGTATCCATTTTTTTTCAAGGCTGTGCTTTTTGCTTCATAATGACTGAACAGTCACTATAATTATGAATCACAGAAAACATACCAAAAGAAATGTACCAATGCTTACAATTCTTTTTATGCAAGTAGAATTTCATTTCAGTATTCAGGATTAAATAGAACTGAATGTCATTTTACGTCAAGTTAGTGGAACTGCCATATAAACAAAAGAAGCTAATAGTATTGAACCTGGCTTTAGTCTTATTGCCAAATACAAGCAGCAGGTAGAGTTCCTGTTGCATTGTTAAGCTATCACCAGGGCGAGCTGTTGAAAATACATGTGGCTTTAAATGGGCAAATTGTGGGGCTTGTGGATTATATCTTGATAAAGCTGATTCTTACATATATGCCTATCAAAGTAGAATAGCTCTAAGATTTTGTAACACCGTGTTCTAAAGCTTCAGCGTCCTCTTTGATCATCTAAACAGGTTTCTTTTTTTAAAGATTTATTTTTATTATTTTTTCATTGGAAAGGCGGATATACAGAGAGGAGAGACAGGGAGGAAGATCTTCCGTCCGATGATTCACTCCCCAAGTGAGCGCAACGGGCCGATACTATGCCGATCCGAAGCCAGGAGCCTCTTGCGGGTCTCCCACGCGGGTGCAGGTTCCCAAAGCTTTGGGCCGTCCTCGACCGCTTTCCCAGGCCACAAGCAGGGAGCTGGAAGGGAAGCGGGGCTGCCGGGATTAGAACCGGCGCCCATATGGGATCCCTGGCGTGCAAGGCGAGGACCTTTAACCACTTGCGCCCCCGCACCGGGCCCAAAACAGGTTTCTAAATGGCTACTTTCATTTTATACTCACTCCTGCATGGTTCTGCAAAAAGGCACAAAGCAAGTGAAACTTGGGGTTTCTTCCATTCTGAAGCGGACTACTTAAAAATGTCAGGCTATTACTAAAAGACATTTCTGATTGTAAGGGGAGAAAAGACCTAGAAAGGTATTTGTAGGAGGTGTCTCCAGCTGTTGGGGTAACAAGGACAGCCCCTTGAGAAGCCAGTACTGGAAGTTCTCCCAAAGAAGCTAACCTGTAGGGAGAAGGAGCTGCTGCCTGATTCACTCAGAAGCCCCGCCAAAGGGATCCAACGTGCCCAGTGGTGTCTACCTGCAGCACGAAGGATCCAAAGCACTGGGGCAGTTATCTTGTCAAAAGGGTGAGATAACCTGCAGGAATGCTCACTGAGGAGCACTAAAGCCAGATCTGTCCCAGGAGTGAAATGTCAAAGTTAACTTGCACCTTCACTCAAATCCCATAAGAAAGTTATGCGTCAACTAAACTAAAGATAGAACCAAACAAGTAAGTCTAGTGGGGAAAGTCAGAATTACTAGGTAACACTGATCTTAATATATTTCATATAAAAGTTGGGGCTCCTGTGTGGCACAGGAATTAAGATGCCACCTGGAACTCGTGCAGTATAGGTCTGAGGGCCTGGGCTCAGGTCCCTGCTGCGCTTCGACCGGTCCCCTGGGAGGTCGCAGGTGAAGGCCCAAGGGCTCAGATTCCGGCCGCCCATGGGGAAGACTTGGATTGGGTTCCTGGCTTTGGCCTGGCCCTGCCCTGGCTATTGCAGGCATCTGGGGGGTGCACCAGCAGATGGAAGATCTCTGTCTCTGTTTCTGCCCATTATTCTGCTTTTAAAACAAATAAAACTTTAAAAAGTATATTCATTTCCTATGACTTCTAAGGCCTTCAGAAAATCTCAGATAACTGTGTAAATTAATTCAAGTTTTCATTTCTAGTAATGCAAAATAAGAGTATTTTTTCAACTTCCTAAGGTTTGCACACTATCATAGGTATTGAAGTGCTTTCTTAGTAATTATTGATTTGTGTTTATTCTCCCACTTCATCAATGGCATTTATGGACTGAAAAGGGAAAGGATAAAACAAATTCAGACCTCTGACTCTCTTCCCCTGTGGTCCTAACCTGGTGACTTAACCTTCTCGTATGCTATAAAACAGGTGTTTGCTATAAACAGAGAGCAGCTCCAATACAAAAAATCCAAAATGCACCAACATTTGAAACTTTCTGAGTGCAGTACGAAGTCACATGTAGAAAATTTCATCCCTAGGGCCCGGCGCGGTGGCACAGTGGTTAAGGTCCTCGCCTTGCATGCCTGGGATCCCATATGGGCGCCGGTTCTATCCTGGCAGCCCCGCTTCCCATCCAGCTCCCTGCCTGTGGCCTGGGAAGGCAGTTGAGGACGGCCCAAAGCTTTGGGACCCTGCACCCGCATAGGAGACCTGGAAGAGGCTCCTGGCTGTGGAAGATGGCCCAAAGCCTTAGAGGCCTGAAAGGGGCTCCTGGCTTCAGATTGCCTCAGCTCTGGTCATTGTGGCCATTTGGGGAGTGAATCAGCATATGGCAGATCTTTCTATTCCAGCTCCCTGTTTGTGGCCTGGGAATGCAGTGGAGGATGGTCTAAAGTCTTGGTACCCTGCACCCGCGTAAGAGACCTAGAAGAAGCTCCTGGCTCCGGTAGTTGTGGCCACTTGGGGAGTGAACCAGCATACGGAAGATCTTTGTCTCTCCTCTCTATAAATCTTTCTTTCCAATAAAAATAAAATAAATCTTCAAAAAAATTAAACAAATCTTTGAAAAAGAAACAACAACAAAATCTGAAGCCCTTCTGGCTCCCAGCACTCTGGATAAGCGATCCTCAATGCTTTTTTCCAATTTTAGTATACGTGCTGCCAAAGCGAGCACTCTCCTCAAGCTTTTTTAAGGGACTCAGTGTGCATATTCAACAATGGGGAAACGACAACAAAACAGCTCCGACAAGCAAGCTGTTTCCCACTTCACAGGCTTGAAACCTGCTGTCTGCATTGTTAAGTCAATACCTTCTTGGTTTAGGGCGGAACTGAGCTGCTGAAGGGGCTAAGACCTAAGGCAAGCTTTGGTTTTGAAGTTTCCAACCAAACACTGAAAGACAATGGCAGAACTAGATAGCTTTTTTTCAATTTTTAAAAAGATTCATATAATTAAAAGCTAGAGTGACAGAGAGGGAGAAAAGGAAAGGAGGAAAGAGGGAAAAGTACAGGCATGGGGGGGCGGGGGAGAAGTTTTCCATCCCCAGATAACCTGGAATAGCTGGGGTTGGGCCAAGCAAGCGAAGCCAGAAACCAGGAACTCAACTGCAGTCTCCCACCAGGGTGGCAGTCACCCCTGCCTTCCAGGGGCACGGGGAAGCTAGATTAGAATGGGAACTGGCACTGCGCTAATGGGATGTGGGTGTCCCAAGCTGCAGTTAACCAGCTGTGCCCCACTGCCTACCTGCTGACAGCCTTTCAATCAGATTGTCTTGCAACTGCTACACCCCATAATGCATATGGTGCTTCACATTTCTTGGGGGAAAACTCACAATTCACCAACTTAACTGAGCAGCATAGGACACCAAAAGGGTCAAATTCAAAGAGAGGCTCTGCTGGTTCACTCTCCAAATGGTCACAATGGCTATGGCTGGGCAGGCCAAGAGCCAAGAGCCTCTTCTGGTCTACACGGACACAGGAAAGCCCAAGCACTTGGACCATCCCCTTCTGCTTCTCCAGGTCATCAGCAGGGAGCTGGACTGGACATGAAACAGCCAGGTCCTGAACCAGTGCCCTTAAGGGATGCCAGCATTGCAGTGGGCAGCTTACCTCGGAGAAGCACAATGCTGGCTCCTTACAGCTGGCTTGGAAAAACAAACTGCAATAAAGTGCTTAAAGCAATACTGCTGACTCCTCCTCACAGCATTAAGGTGTCTCAGGAGGCTGGCCAGCACACAGTTCATCTGCTTTGCAGGTTCTCCAGCTGCAGCATCCCTCTTCCTTGGCAGATTTCCAAGCCACTTCTCTCCCTTTTGCCTAGCATGAGTGTCTGAGAGTAATCCAGATCCTTAACAGGCACTCCGGCAAGATGCAAGCAGGTACATAAAGGTGCCGTGGATGGTCCAAAAGCAGATGCCAGATGGCTCCAGGGTTTTGTTAGGGCATGGAAGGGCCCCCTTAACAAGTCGATAAAGAGTGAGGAGGCAAAAGGGAGTTTGTGTTAAAGGAGCTGCCATTTTCTAGGAGATGAAACCTATTGTTTCTTCCTTTGAGGACCTATACTTCCTTTGACAAATAAAGCAGGAGGGGACAACTGGATCGATTTATAAACCAATAACAGAGGTAAAATCAATGAAGAAAAACATTGCTGTGTTAACACTGAATACTTCTCAGAAATTTTCAATGTTTACAACAAATTTAACTTCCTGTTTAAAAAAACACAACGAAGTGAAAAGCAATAACTCTGAGAGCTGTCTGGAGGCAGGACTGGGACTGGACAGCATGACTTCATGCCTTGAAAGTAATTATTTCATTAGTGAGAAATAACTTTGTTGTGTATTCGGTCTAAGCTTTTGGATCAAGCCTTACAGCCATGGCTGGGGCGTGGGAAACAGCCACAAGTCGCCGTGTCCTGAGGCTTCCCGGGACAGGTGCCAGGGACGCTGTGTCATCTGAAGCTGGTGCAGTGCTTCCTGCCACGGCCCCCTGGAGCAAGCCAAAGTCACATCTTCTTTGTAGCTCAGAACAACGCTGCTAAGGCCAGCTTAGAGAAAGCACGGCCCTGCCCTCTGTGCTGTGTTGCTGTAGGGAAACAGTTTCCCATCTATGAGCCTCCACTTCTGCAGCAGAGCCCTGAGATCACACTTGTGCCTGCACTGTTAGAAAACAACTCTTGGTTTCCTAATCCGATGTGGGAATTTTCTGTCATCTTCAAATGAAATAAGCATTCACGCACACGCTGAGGTTAAACCCAAAGTAATGCAAAAACAAGCACTTTTCAAAAATTCTCTCCTAGGTTTGATTTTTAAAAGTACAATAAAAAGGAAAAAAAAATACCTTTGCAAATATAGTCTTGACATAAATTGGCAGGTCTCCATGGGGACTTCCATAACCCCCTACAATACTAAACCCCAATCCTTCAGAGCCTTTCTCCAAAGTAATAATCTTAGGTGGAGGTGTTCTGAAAACACAATGCATGCTGTTTAATTCAAGAAGAGATATCGAGAGGGAATTTCATCTTCACGGAAGAACACAGATTCGAGAGAGACTTTCACACTGCGAAGGTCAATGTTCAAATCAAGCTCTCAGAGAGCAACTATAAACTGATTTAAAACACTCCATGCCATGCCAGTGATTACTGTTTCAGGGATTTCCCTTTAACAAACCCCACTGCTGCCTTGTTAAAATTATGATGCCCAAGTCGTCCAGGCACGCTTCTATGCACTGTTACAGGGCACCTAACTGGAATCCACAGGTGTGAGAGTGACACGCTGGGATCTGATCATCGCGTACAGACTTCATTTAGACGAGGATAGCAAGCTTTTGTGATGTGCTATGTTTTATTTTTATTTTGATTGTGATTGTTTCCTACCTGACAGGTGCTGGTATCATTACCGAATGGAGTGTTCAACCTGTGACTGCAAAATGAAATGAATGTATGCTATTGCAAAAACTAGGGGGTGGGAAGAATGAAGGAGGAAGGGGGGTAGGGAATGGGGACAGGAGTGGAGGTAGGGTGGAAAGTTATCAGTGAGCTCCTATATCTGGGTTGTGCTGTATGTGAAATTTGTCCACTTTACATAAATAAACAGCATTTTGAAGATGTACTGTTTAAAGCACACCCAAGCACGTGAGAGAGTGCCACGTCAGTGCAGCGGGACACCGCTGGTCCTCAGGGCTGCCCTGGAGTTCAATCATCGCAGCTCCTCCTCCCGGACGTCCTGGGCACACCTGCACTGTTACCTCCACTCAGAGATGAGGTCCAAGCGGAGGCTCTTCCGACTGTGGCCCTGCACCTCACCCTGCTTTCCAGTATGGCATTTACTAAGTCATGGGGTGATCCCTTCACCACTTATCTCCTCTAGCAGATGACAAACTCCTGCATGTCCCCTGCACTGGGCACTGTGCTTTGCCCTTCACTCTGAATCATAACTGCGCAGCTGAGAACTGTAACCCAGGATGAAGAGCAGAGCCAAAGTGATGGGAAATGGATCAATCTGTTGCAAATGTGTGACTTTGATGGCCAAAGCTTCGTTCAGTGTGGAAGTCTTCTCTCACAGAAACAACACGGCTAAAAATGCAATCTCTCCCATGGGCCCTAGTCCCTTTAATCTAAGCTTAGTTGAGACCAGTTTCTTAGTGTCAAATGCTACTGTCCACAGGAGGCTGGGACTGCAGACCCCACGAGCATGTCTGGGCATCCACTGGCATCACCTGATTCATGGCAATATGCATGTCTGGGAGAGCCACCTGCCTCAGATGCAACACAGTCCTGTGTTTGAACCTCACCAAGTGGGGATGCAAGCAACCGCTGGAGAAGTGGTCCTGTCTAACTGGAACGCTCTTCCCTCTCTCCTGCCTCGGTTCTGCCTGGGTTACTTGAGAGCTGACCTGCAGGTGGTGCAGACTGATCAGCAGTGTTTGTTGATGTGCTTATTGTTTACAACATGTGTGCCTAGCAACTGCTGACTGTGCTGAGCATCTCTGTTTTGAATGTCACCCTTTTTCCAAATCTTTCTCACCTCAGCTGAAGGAATGGTTTCAGAACGCGTCCTGATTGAGTTATGTCCCAGCTCTGTGGTTTCTCACTGGCCTCGGCTTGCCTACACTTAGCAGCCCTTATTTGCTATGGGCTTGTAGGTCTGCTTTTCCAACTCTGGCGATTCCTGGAAGACTGGGCTGTACCGCTGCCTACAGTTCTAACTCACAGAGGCGCTCAGCTAGCGGCTGTTGAACTAATGATGAAGGTTTCCTACATCCGCTGATAACGATGTCCCGGGTACGCCCCTGCGTTTCCCACTTGGGGGCCTTATTCAGCACTCTCAGCCATGGCCCACTGGCCAGGCACAAATTTGTTTCGTTTTCCTTTTTCAAGCCCAGCCCCCATTTCCAAGGATGTTGGAATGGGAACCTGAATGGCTACAGCTGTGCTGTTCAGCAAGCTCCTTGAAGGCACTGAGTCATTAGAGAGCTGGCAACCGTGCCGATCGACAGGCTAGAGTGTGTGCTGTTTTTGAAGACTGGGGTGATGTGTGATGTTCCTTCACCAGGAACATCTGGTGGCGCTGGCCTTCATTCACCTCATGAAATCCTAACGTTTTCAACCAGTTACCTTTAACTTGTATAGAGAAAATCAGTTTTTTTTTTCTTTTAAAAGATTCTACTGTTAACAACTGAGGAGCTGAGTGATTTTATATGCTCTGGTTCTCACTTACTAGGAGCTATGGGGTTGCAGCAGAGCAATCAGGATCATGAGGGCCTCTGTCTGCACCTCTACCCCAAGGGTGAGGAACACTGCTCTTCCTCTAAAGGTCATTACTATAACTTTAACATGCCACACACTTGTGCACTTGTCTATTTTAATGGCTTACATTACTCCTGTAATGAGCTAGAATAAAGCAGAGATTAATTTCATCTCTCCCCAAGAAAAAAACAAAACTCTAAGATGTCATCTAAGTTGATGGCCTCTGGGGGACACACTGGGGCTGGTTAGAATCATGAGATCCCTGCTGTGGGCCCACCCAGGCCAGTCTACAGCATTAGCGGAGCCCCTGCTGGCACCTCTAGGGACGGGTTTAGGCAACGTTTCTCAGTGCTGTTGAATCATCCTGCAGCAGAATCATCCTGGGAAACGTGTTACAATTAGGTCTTTGGATCTACTGTAGTCCACTTCACCAGAATCTAAGGAAAGGGTCCAGGGAATTGGTCTATTTGAAGCTTCTTGGATTATTCTTATGCATACGCTAGTTGGAAAAGCTCTGTCTTAATGATCACTATTGAGTGTCATGATAGGTTTTAATAAACCACTTGAGCAAGTGTAACAAGGAGATTTGGTCTCTGCTGTTTCAGAATGGACAACTACGGAAACATGGCTCATTGCTCCATAAGGCGGGATGCGTTTGGGCTCTGACATCTTTGCATGAAGGCATCAGTACTGCGTCAAGGTGACCAGATGCAGTGTGTGCAGGCTGTGTGGTTATGGCCTGTTGAAGAGTTCATATGGTAGGACAGAGTCTTGGGAGAGAGAAGCAACGGTTGGCACCCTCTGGGAGATTCTCTCGACTAGAAAAAGCAAGGCACCTTTCCCCCTCCTCTCCTTCAGGGAGCACACTTTAGCACCCAGGGGAGTTCCCAGGAGTGCTGGCCACAAGCAGAAGGGGCCCTGTGCAGCCAGCATACTCACTCTGAGCCCTCTGGATGGTGCTCGGCCACGGGCGAGCCGAGGTGGTGGCTTGCAGACATGTTCTCAAGCTGAGTAGCTATGGCACTGATGTTGGTGTCTGCCACAACCTGCAGGAAAAATCAGAACAACATATTTCATCATCAGGCAGGGCCCTTTCTGTCTTTACAAATAAATTAACATTTTACAAAGATATGTAAATATCATCTACGTGGCGATGATAACCCCCAGGCCTGTCTCTAGCGCCACTTCTCACTTAACCACCCAGCCGCACAGGTGACCCCCAACCTGACATCTGCAGTGGGGTACCTGGCTGCTCCCTCAATCCTAACAAGCCCAGACTCTGGTTATTGCAACTTGACTGCTCCAGTTCCATACCCATCCTGGCTTCATCCTCGTCTTCTCTCACAACCCACTATCTTCCTCCAATTCTACTGGTCCAGCTTTAAAGCCATCATCTCTTTTCAACAACAGTCTTCACCAGCTGTTCTGCTTTAGCCCTTGGAGTCTAGAACAGCTGGAGTGGTTTGATCAAATATAATAGATTGTTTCATTCCTGGGCTTAAAACTGAAACTAAAATTCTCTTGGACAAGCCATCTCTAGGTGGTCTGTCCTGGGAGGTCTCCGCCCCAGCACCCTGGTCCCCTGGCTATTTGTCCCCCAGGCCAGACGCAGTCCTGCGCTGATGCTCTCAAACTGCTGTGCCTTCTTCCTGGAATGCTATCCCCAGGCCATAATCCTGACCAGCCCCATTCCTCACTTCAGTACTCCAAGCCACCTTCTTTGGCCATTTCAACTGAACATCCACACTCATGTTCTGGCCCAGCATTTCCCATCCTTCCTGTCTGCTTCTTCTTTCCATCTTACATGCTGTGCAATGAACTGTTTCCTTATTTATCTTATTGATGGTTGCCCATTTCATGCTAGAATGCAAGGGTGGGAAGTCTGCCCACTCTGTGAGCTCATCCTGTTGAACAGCGCCTGGCATACAGTAGGTATTCCGTAAATAACTGAGTTAAAGGATGAACTGGCTTTCAAGGTTTGCCTCTTAGATGGTGCTTAACAAAGGCATAGAACAGTGGCATGCAAGCTTTTACTTGGCATTCTGCAAATGACGAGCAACACATACAGAAGAACCACAGCATAGCTGTGACAGCCATCTCACAACCAAGAATGAAGTCCCACAGCTTAGTGATGCTGTGCCCAAGTCCCGCTTCTCCACGATGAGGCATCATGCAAGCCTGCCTAGCTGCCTTTTCCTGGAATTGTGTCCATTCTCTGGGAGACTCGAGCTCCTTTCACAAGAGTTCCTTGATCATTCCTGCTTCGGACCACTGTCCTGATTCCCAGTAACAATCAGCCCATAGAGTCCTCAGAGAATTGATTCCAAGAGCCTCTGAGATACCAAAACCTACATCCCCTTGCATAAAATGGTACAGTGCTTGTAAATAAACAATCCTCCTGTGTACTTCAAAGCATTCTTCCATAATATGATGCAAGCACCATGTAAATAATTGTTTCACTATCGTGTTTAGGGACGACAAGAACAAACTCAGTATAGATGCAAGCCTTTAGGTCTAACAGCACTTTCACTCCACGTTGGCTGAACCCCCAACGCAGAACCTGCGGGTAGGACGGGCCCAGGGTAATCCTCAGGGCACAGGCGCAGTGCAAGCTGCTCCAGTTGCCTGCAGTTTCAGAATCGGCCAACAGAGGGCACAGCTGCCTCGTGGCTTTGCTGTGCAGCGGCTTCAAGCAGAGAACAAGCAAAGGCAACCGCAGAGCACTTTTAGAGTGAAGTACCCCCACCCCAAAAGAAAACATGGTGGCATCCTACTTATCTAAGGTCTTCTAGAACTACCATCAGGTGAAGAGTGTTGGAATTGACTGGGGGAACATTCAGAATCAAACAGCGATTTCCCCAGACCAGGCTGATCCATCACCACCAGCTTACTGTTCTCTTTCATGGTGAGTTGTGGAGGAGCTCTAACTGGACCTAGTCTCAACACACACTGTCTTTACACATGCAGCCCCTTCAGACCCGTCCTCATCACCTGGCCCTGGCCTTCCTCCTGCAGCTGGGCTCTGCCACGCCATCGCTCCCACTCCTGCCTCCACCACTCCTGCCTCAGACACGGGTCCCTCCCACGTGCACACTCCGGCTCGCGGGATACAGAATGTACATTTCCACGGGTTTCACCTTGGACAGTGTGCCAAAAACCTCAGCTTAGGCCTTGCTGTTCACCTGGTAATCTGACACCTGCTTTTTATTGTTACTATTATTAAACATTTTTCTTGATTTGAGAGGTTTATTTCCCCTCAAGTAATCCCAAAGTGTCAGGAGGCCAAAGCTGGGAGCTGGAAACTCAGCCCCGTCTCCCACGTGGGTGGCAAGAGCTCATCTACTCAAGCTGCTTCTCGGGGTGGATATTAACAGGAAGTTGGAATCTCAGACCAGAATGAAACCGACTCATGCATTCAGCCATGAAGCACAGGCTTTCTCACTTGCTGCCCATTAAAAAGCATCCTAGGTGTAGGATTTACTTATTTTTCTTAGAAAATCAGATTTACAGAGAGAAGAGACACAGAGAAAGATCTTCCATCTGCTGGTTCACTTCCCAAGTGGCCAAAACAGCCGGAGCTGCGCCAATCTGGAGCCAGGAGCTTCTGAGAAGCCAGAATATGAACTGGCATTCATACGGGATCCTGGCAGATGAAAGGTGAGGATTTCAGCCACTAGGTTATCGTGCCAGGCCCCTTGGGTATAGTATGAAAAACAGTCAGTTGCTGGCTGGTGCCTAGCCAACCAGGAAGGTATCCAGGCTGCTGGCCAGAGACATCCCTGAGCCAGATACCCTCGCCGGTGGAACCTGCTACCCAAGGGCTGTGGTTGCTACACCCTAAATGCTTATCTCTCTGCCACTTACCCTCTCACACACACAAGCCAAAATGGCACTCCCTTGCTTATGACCTTTAAGGGATTTCTCTCTGCATAAATAAAATAAAACCTCAGCTCCTTAATGGCACATAAAAACCCCTCCCTGGTCTCTCCCAGCCATATCTCCTTTTCCACTCCACCCTACATTCCACAGTTCTCTCCACCTGGAGGTCCACCCTTCCCCGAACTGGCCAGCTTGCTATCAGCTTAAGCGTTTCTTCCCTTATATGAGCATATAAAATTGAAACATGGAATAAAAAAATAGGTTTATTTAGGGCCCAGCGCACTGGTTCACCTGGTTAATCCTCCACTCTGTAAGTACTGGCATCCCATATGGGTTCCAGTTTGTGTTCTGGCTCATCCAGTCCCACCCAGCTCTCTACTTGTGGCCCAGGAATGCAGTGGAGGACAGACCCCCGTCCCTACCTCAGAATCCAAAGGAAGCTCCCGGCTTTTGATCAGCTCAGCTCTGGCCACTGCGGCCATTTGGGGAGTGAACCACTGGATGGAAGACCTTCTCTATCCCTCCTCTCTCTGTAAAATTCCCCCTTCAAATAAAATAAACCCTTTCTTTTTAAGTTATGTTTGACACACATAAGAAATCTAAACTCCACCCATCATTTTTTTTTCTTTTTTTAATTTTATTTTGCTTGGGATTCCCTCCCCCCACACTCTCACCACCCCCGATAGGTTTTTAGTATAGTCCTTCATAAGGGGTCATGATTCCATCAGTGCGTACCTTGTAGAAACAGCCTGTGCTGCCAACTGGCCAGGACACACCCCAGTGGAGCTGAGCAGGAAGCCCACTGCGAAGACGCCTTCCCCAGGGCAGCTTCCCACGCTACACTGCCGGCAGCCTGCTGCTTTCTGCACCTTCAGATTCCTTCCACCTAGACTGTACTTCTGACTACAGAGTGCGCGCTTCCCTCAAGCGAGGCCCGCCTGAGCCCCAAAGAGGCAGGACCCATCACTGTCCCTATATTACTGAGCCCCAAATAAACAGCTTCAGTAACTCTCCCAAGGCGACACGGGAGGGGGCGGGGGAGAAAGGGAAGAAGCCACGATTTCTTTAGAATCTGCATTTTGTCCCATGTGGTGGGAGGGGGTGCCGAGCTCGGTTTGTGGACAGAGTACATGGTCTAGTCACTCAACAAGCCGCTGGAAATTAATGAGATGCTAATAGCCGTGTTTGGCAGTCATGGGGAGGAACTAAAAGGGGCCCTGGATGCTGGGGGAGGTTAGGGGGTCTCGGAGCCACAAGTTTCCCCAACTGTTGAGAATTTTTTTTTCCCTTAAAGATGTATGTTTGGGAAGGTAGAGTTAGAGCTCTTTCACCTGCTGGCTCATTCCACAGAGGATGGGTTAGGCTAAAGCCACAAGCTCAGAGCTTCTGGGTCCCCCTCTGGGTACAGAGACCCTGGATGGGAAGTGGGCGAAGTGGAGCAACTGGGCACTAGCGGCGGCACTCATGGCACTGCACGCAGTAGCTTCATCACAACACCATGGTGCCTGCCTCCCCTCCCCCACAGGAACTGGCTGGCTCCGAGGCGTGGTACCATGAGCCTGTGCTGCGGCGCACACGCGCATTAAGAGCGCTGCATCTAGTCCCGGCAATGCGCTTCCGCGGCTCGCTGCCATTGGCCAAGGAGAGCGGTGTGGGATGCCCCAGGTTGGCGGCCCTGCGCATGTGCAGATCCAGGGGACTGTCTGGCTTCTGGCTTGTAACCAAGCCAGCTTCTGCCATTGCGGCCATTTGGGGAACTGAGCCAGCGGATGAAGACCTGTCGCCATCGCTCGCTGTGTGTCTAACTCTGCCTTAATATACATATATCTTTTTAAAAAAAGATTTGTTTATTTTTATTACAAAGTCAGATGTACAGAGAGGAGGAGAGACAGAGAGGAAGATCTTCCATCCGATGATTCACTCCCCAAGTGAGCGCAACAGCTGGTGCAGTCAGGAGCCAGGAACTTCCTCCAGGTCTCCCATGCAGGTGCAGGGTCAAGGCTTTGTGCCGTCCTAGACTGCTTTCCCAGGCCACAAGCAGGGAGCTGGATGGGAAGCAGGGCTGCCGGGATTAGAGCCGGCGCCCATATGGGATACCGGCGCGTTCAAGGAGGACTTTAGCGCTTAGGCTATGGTGCCAGGTCCCCTATATAAAAAAATCTTTAAA